TTCCTTCTCCTTAGGGAGCTAGTTTAGGCCTGGAGCAACCATTGTGGATCTGGCTTCCTGTCCTAGTTTCGTTGTTCTCTGTTATCTGGGCTGGGCCCAGAGTCCTCGCTTCAGGGCCAAGGAGGCAGGCCGACCTGGGTCAGATCCCACGTCTCCTGCCCAGCTGGTGAACTTTGGGAAGGGCCTGGACCTCTCTGAGGCGTTGTTTTCCCGTCTGGGAAGGTCAGAGATTATGGATATCAAGCACATTTCATGGTGCCTTGCACGGGATAGAGACAAACATAGCTGTCATTAACTTTAGTTTCTGCAAAATATTGTTGATCACAATTTGTTCAATGCCTGGCAAAATCCAGGTTGCCTGCTTCGCCTGGTATCCTGGGGCAGCCATCCATCGCTCAGGGTGTAGCCTCTCCCTCCTCATTACATGCCTGGTCTGTCCTGCATTGGTACTTGTACAGCACAGCTGTATCTGTGGCGACGGAAGGGCATGCTGTATTATATTGGGCAGAAAGATTCTCTGATCAAGGTTTAAGTTGAAACTTGCAGTCCACTCAGGGCCAAGGCATGACACCATGAAACACCTAAGTGGCAACGTTGTTCCCTGGGGTAGCACCATGAAACATCCCGCACTGGAGCAGAGGTGCCCAGCCTTTGTGGGACTGAGACTCCTATGAGTGGCGGCCAGGCCGGAACCTTGTTCATGTCACAACAAGGGCCCCACACGTGCACCGCCTGCTCCGCCCTTGCTGGAGCCAGAAAGGCAGCCCTGTTCCCCACAAATAACACTTCTCTGCAGTCGCACAGCTCTCTAATTTAGACAGAGCTTCCGGCCTGTGTGCTCTCTCTCTTGGTTTGACTGGCTCCAGCAATGCTTGCTCCCTGGTGTCAGAGATAAAACACAGTCCGGTTCCAGCCCAAGACGTAGAGTAACTTTCCTGTACGTGAATCATAAAGTGGACTTAGTCAGAAATTCCTACCAGCCCTTCTGGCTCAATGGGAGTCATATGATTCTGAGAGAAAAATTGTCTATCGTATTTCATTGTGGTGACTCATATATGAGTTCTCATTGTTGAAGTATGAATTAGAACTAAATTTAGTTTAGTGTAGTTTTACTGTTTTGAAGGAAAATGGTGATGACAAAGCAGATCTTTTTCAGCTTACTAAAAGCCCTGGGCATGATGGCATAAGTTCATATAAATAATGTCCCAAAACTTCCATTTTATGTTAAAGAGCTAAACAGTTAAATGCAAGAGAAGAGAAGGGGAAGAGGAAATATTATTTGATTTTGTGGGGTGTGAGGTATAGCTGGGGAGGCTGGGGAGGATGATCCAAGCTCAGAGGCAACAGACAAAAAGAAAATATTGAATGATTTTCACAAAAAGAAACAAATTACTGTGCATTTAGCAAAAAGCCAAACTTCAAAGGGAATTGAGGGAAATGTTTGCAATAAATATTTCAGACTGATGTGAAAGGTGCATGCAAATCTATAAGAAAAACTCAAGATCCTAATAAATAACAGCAGAAGATGTTCATATATCATTTATAAATAAGGAAACAATTAGACAAACACAGGAAATGTTCATCCTCGCTAGCAATCAGAGAAATGCAAGGAAAAGGGGATCACGTTTTTCTTCGTTAAATGAATAATTTTTTAAACTGACAAACTTGGTGTTAAAGACAGTGAAAACATAAATGCCCTCATCCTTTGACGAGTGGCTATAAAGTAGTACTAACCTGTCGGAAATCATTTTGACAATGGGTGTTAAATAGCCTTTAAAATGGTCCTTGTCTGTGAACGTAGTTCCAGCTCTAAGAATCCTACCTAGAAACAAAAGTCTAAGAACGGAAAACCATTATGCACAAATATATTTATAGCAATGTTATTTATATGTCAAACTGGGAAACAAATTAGATGTTTAGGTGTCAGGGAATGACTGAGTAAACTATGCCATATCTTCTCACTGGAATAGTCTGAGGATATAACCATATGGAAAATGCAGATTAAGTAAAAAGAAGGGTGCAAAATTGTAATATGATATTATCAAAAAAATGTATAAAAACCAGGCAAGAATTGAAAACTTAGCTCCACACAAAAACTTACATATGGAGGTTTATTCATGAGGCAGCTTTATTCCTAATTGCCAAAACTTGGAAGCAACCAAGATGTTCTTCAGTAGGTCAGTGGATAAATAAACTCTGGTATATCCAGACAATGGAATATTATTCAGTGCTACAAAGAAATGAGCTATCAAGCCATGAGAAGACATGCAGGAAACAAATGCATTTTACTAAGTCAAAGAAGCCAATCTGAAAAGGCTGCAAATACTGTATGATTCCAATCTGACATTCCGGAAAAGGCAAAACTATGGAGACAGTGACAAGATCAGTAGTTGCCAGGGGTTGGGGGGGTGGGAAAGATGAATGGTGGAGCACAGAGGATTTTTAGGGCAGTGAAACTATTGTGTATGATGCCATAATGATGGTTACGTTATACATTTGTCCAAACGCATAGAATATACAACACCTAGAATGAACCCTAGTGTACATTGTGGACTTTGGGTCATAATGATGTGTCAGTGCAGTTTCCTAAATTATAACAAATGCTCCACAGTGGTGGGGGATGTTGATAATTGGGGGGGGTAGGGGATATATGGGAAATCTCTGTACCTTTTGTTCGGTTTTGCTGTGAACCTAAAAGTGCTCTAAAAAATAAAGTCTATCAAAAAAATAAAACAAGGAGGGGGGAAAAGACTGGAAATATTTACGAAGGTTGTGTTCTGGTCATGATAGACTTGTTTTCGTTCATCTCCATGCCTGTAATTACCATTTTAAAACATGAACATGCATTCATTTATAATGGAAAGAAAAAAATAAACATTTCAGGAGTTTAAAAAGCTATGAAATGAAGCTATGTGGTTGTGTGTTTAAGTAATTCTGAGAGTTTCTGATCCCTTGTTTTCTCTTAGCGCATTTACAATGCACATTCCTTTTGGCTATTTGTGAATTTACACAATTGACCCTGTACTCTAAAGCCGTCTTTGGGGAATCTCAGTGCAAACTGTATTCTTGGAATTTTTCCCACAGTGTTTGATTCAGTCTTTGTTTATTTTTAAAACTCTAGGACTATATTAGAATAGCCTATTTTCTTTTATTAAATATATGTAGATATTTATTCGTGTTTAAATTACTGTTTTTCAAAGATTATACAATCAGCCGGTTTAATAATTAAAATAAAAAGTTAAATAATTAATTTATATATATATATACACACACAATTATAATTCTCCTTATCCAGTCTCCCTTCTATTTAGTTCCTCAGCGTCCCCGTTCTAAGGAACCACTGTTTTAAAATTCTTGTGACTGTTTCAAGAGTTTCTTTATGCATTGTGTATGGAAATACTAATATATATTCTTATTTTCTCCTATTTTTATACAAAAAAAGGCACATTTTACACATTGTCCAATATCTAGCTTTTTCACTTAACGATGCATCTCTCCTATCACTACAGAAATAGCTTCTTCATTTTCCTTTTCAGTTGCAGAGGACCCTGTGCGTGGATTTGTGGATTCACCATAATTTACTCTCCAGTCCCCTGCTGATGGACAGCACTGGAATAACTCATCTTGTACATGCATTTCATTCACGTGCAGCGATAGCCACAGAATAAGTTCCTGGAAGTGGACATAGAAGCCTCTGTAGTTTTGATCTCCCGAATTATTCTGATTGCCAAGTTATTCTCCACCAGGAAGGGTTTGCACTCGTACCAGCAATGCTTCTGAGTGCCCACTTCCTCACACACTTGCCAGAAGAGTGGTCTGCCTCAAATCTGATTGATGCCACTGATATGTGGAGAAAGGAAGTGCAGGATGTTTTAATTTCGATTCCTCTTTCGTGAGGGAGTTTTAGCAAGTTTTCACAGCTAAGAGCCTTTCCTCTTGTGTGAAAACTGTCTGTTTACCACCTTCATTCATTTTCATTATTAGGCAGTTGGTCATATTCTTATGGATTTCTAGAAATCCTTTATCTATCAGGGTGCTAGCCTCCTTTGGTGACTGTGCCTGCCTGGCTGGAACATGTGCCTGAGGACAAGAGATTCTACGAGGGGCTTCAGTCTGGGTTGCTGGAACCAATAGGATGCATTTGAAATAAACCAATGGCCATTCAAGAAAGCATGTGGACTCCATCACACACACAGCATCATGAACAGATTTCACATCAGGCCAGTCTGTGTTTGCAGCTTTCGTGTTGGCTGCTTACAACAGTGTCACTTAGGGCAAGTCATTTAGCATCTTTAAGTCTTGATTTTCTTACCTGTAATATAAGGCTTATCAGCCCTGTCACTTTGGGTTATCGTGGGGAACACGTAGAAAGAATCTGATACTACGGTGACTACACAGGGCCACATAATTCCCACAGTGCTCCTCAGGGTGAACTCAGCCTTTACTGAAGGTGAAGGTACCGTAGGAGCACAAAGTGTGAACAATCATGGGGCTCCCTAGAGACTCCCAGGTGAGCACCCCAGGGTCTTTTCTCACTTGCGCAGAAGGTACTGTGCTTTTGGATTGTGAACCACAAAGATATGTGCAAGGAATATTGGTTTTAGAAGAGCTCAAGCAGAAGTTTCTTGTGGTATCTTAATACCCTACTGGTGATGTAGCCAAGCCAGACTGTGTAACCAGTGAGGCCAGGTGTAAACCATCAGTCTGTACATCCATAAACAATGTAGACAACCTGGCCCTGGGTCTCTCCAGGGATTTTTGAACGTTGAACAGCACATTATAAATCACCTATTAGCTCATCTCTTTGTCCTTATCTTAGCCAAGGGTCAGTACCAGACCTCCAGACATCCCTATTGACATAGAGCAATCAATTCCTGTCCAGCTACAAGGTAACCCTACCTTACACAGGTGCACAGGGAGCACTCGGAAACTATTTCTTCCTTTCCTTTTCCGTAGAACAAACTTGCCTTTGCCTTCACAAGGACCTTTTTCTTCTACAGTTCAGGAGAGACCGTCACCAGCGTGACCAGCTTGGCCCCATTGCAGCCCAAGAAGGGCAAGAGGCGGAAGGAGAAGGCTGACATTCCTCCTGCAGTCCCTGCCAAAGGTAGGACTAGCCTACAGTTACCCACATGGAAACCACCGTGATTGATCCAGAAGTGGGTCTGAAGTTTGATGTGGGATCAGGACAGGGGTAGTAGGCACATGGAGGACATGACAGCCAGTGATTATATGGTCTAGAGAACCTCACCTAGATTCTGGTCATAACTGAGACCTGTCCCTGGGCTGGGGCGTTGGGTGGTACCATTGGCCCAGCATGGCTTTAGTGGGGAGGTGGGGAGTCAACATCCACAGACCAATTCCAGTGTATTTGACTTTGAACTGTTAACATGCTCTGCACATAGCGGGGTGGGGCAAGGAGGTGTCAGCATTTTCTTGGTTCATTCAAGGAAACGAAGGCTCTCTGATTTTTCTAAAGATGTAAACTAGGTATGTCGTTTATTTTGGATTTGTTCTGGGGACAAAATGAGGATTATTCTTTGATTCCAGCTATGACTTAGCAACGTAAGTGCAGAAGGTGAGCGTTTCTAAAGGAGAGAACTGAACACAGCTTAGGAGAAATAAAACTGTCTATAGATAGTTCCTAAAACAACTGTGGCCAATTTAGGAGAAGTTCATACCTCAAAGAATTTGAAATGTAGTTGGGAATACAATGTTTGTCCAAGAAAACAATTTAATAACAAGACAAGACACATTTTAACCCTCAGGGCTTTGCAGGATGTCCCCTAGGGACCCTTAGGGCCCTATGGTAAAAGCCACACAACATACATCAAGTGGACAGAAGGGGTGGGAAGGCATGGGCATTCTGGGGGCCATGACAAGTGTAGATCTGGGGAGAGAAGGGAGCAGAGAAGCCCTGCCCTGGGCCAGGCAGCGTACTGCTATACTGTCTTATTTCAATCAGGGTAGATAGTACCCTACCTTACTAAAGATGACAATGAGATTCAGAGAGCTAAGTGGTAGATCCTGGCTTTGAAATGAGGTCTGCCTGACTTTCAAGGCCAAGTTCAAATCCCACATCATCTACATACTAGTTACATGACATCGGGGGAAGAGCCTGGGTTTCCTCCTCTGTTCAATGGGGACAATAAGACTCTCCCTGATGACCTCTTAAGGCTGCTGTGAGTGTCAGAGGTCACTGCTATCAGTGTTAGTGTGCCATTAAGATGAAGCCCCGGGGAAAGTCCAGCCTCAGCCTTTACCAAGCGTACCTGGTTCTCACCTGCACACCTGACCTCTTTGTAGCAGGCAGTGTTTTATGCCATTGTTTTGTTGACCTTGTCGAAGAGAGAGGATGACCTGACCAAAGACTAGGGGAGGATCACCCTCCACTGAGGGGCACCAGCTGTTACCTAGATCAGAAACGGAGTTCTTCCATGGGGGCAGGAAGGGGTCCATGAGTCTCTACAGAGTATGTCTGTGATGCTGATGATATGTGGGCTTTAAAAGTCCTGAGAGGAATTGCAAACTAAACCCTTGACATCCTTCCACAGCTCCCATAGCCGCCACATTCCATAAACCGAAGCTGCTGAAGCCGCAAAGGAAAGTCACCCTGGTGAGTAACCATAGTCTGTGTTCTTGTCCCTTCAAGCCCTAAACACCCTTCAGAGTCCAATTACTACCTTTATTGGCTCAAAACATGCTCAGAGTTCTTGGTGCTTTTGTCCCCAAGCAAAAGCATTCTCTCTTCTTGGGTCAGCTTTTGAGCCAGTTTTTCTCCAAACCTAGTTCCCAGAGTGTTTTTTAAAAATCCAAATGGAATTATTTTTCATTATAAATGCTACTTTTCAAAAAGAAGAAAAAAGCCACACTCAGGAATGTATAAAATAGAAATGGACCTGCTTCTATAAATTTGCCTGATAATCACTCTGAAGAACCTTCCAGAAAATATGTTATAGATTTTATTTTGAAATAATTTTGGACTTACAGAGCTTTGTAAAGATAATGCAGAGAGTTCCCATCTATCCTTCACCCAGCTTCTCCTGATATTAACATTTTACGTAGCCATGGCGTATCGGTCAAAACTAAGAAATTACCGTCAGCACATTACCGTTAACTACACTCCAGACTTTGACCAGATTTCAGAAGTTTTTCCACTAATGTTCTCCTTCTGTTCCAGGATCCAATCCAGGATCTCACATCACGTTTAGTTGCCGTGTCTCCTTAGTCTCCTCCAATCTGTGACAGTCCCTCAGTCTTGCTTGGTCTTGACACTTGTGAAGAGAGGTAGCCAGTTATTTTTCAGAATGTCCCTGGATTTGGGTTTCTCTGGGTTTTCTGATGAGTAGTAGTGAGGTTATGGATTTGGAGGAAGAACAGCACAGAGGTGATACTTATTCTCATTGCATCACATTGGGGCACATGATGTCAATATGTCTCATCAATGGTGATGTTAATCTGATCACTTGGTTAAGGTGGTGTCTGCCAGGCTTCTTCAGTATGAAGTTACTATTTTTCCCTTTCCATTTTTATTTCTACTTGTTAGAAGCCAGTCATTAAGTCCAGTTCACATTCAGAGGGAGGAGAGTTAAGCTCCACCCCTGAAGGGAGGAGTACCAAAGAATTTGTGGACATATGTTAAAACCACCACAGTATTAATAAATATTTTAGAGGAGATACGTCAAGGCTGTCCAAGTATCTTGTTTTTCCTTGAACTTTTTCTCCACTGATTCTAGCATTCCTCAGTGGATTTTGCTTGCAGCAGTAATTGCTATGGTGTACTAATGATGGTTTTCTATTTTCCTCAATCCGTCTATACATTTACTGTGTGAAATTCTTCTGTAAAGAAGAGTGGGACCCCTTCCCTCATTTATTTATTCTCTAATTTCTTCATATCAGTGTAGATGCGTGGGTATTTAATTTTTTTAGTTTCTAATCATATTGTTATTTATTTTGTTGCTAATACTGCTCACCAGTTGTGTATTTGTGTGCGCAAGAGAGACAGACAGAGAGAGAGAAGGAGAGAAACTGGCAAACCTGTTCTAAAATGTGTATGTACTGCAAAGGCCCAGGATAATCTTGAAGGAAAAGAACAACGTGGAGAATTTATAGACCAGTTCTCAAGATTTACATTAAAGCCACAGTAATTAATACAATATGGTATTAGCACAAGGTTAGACAAACCAAAGGAACAGAATAAAGAGCCCCAAACAGATCTACATATGTATTGTCACTTGATTTATGACAAAAGTGACATTGTAGTGCAGTGAAGAAGGGATTATCTTTCCAATATATGGTAATGAGTCTATTGGATATCCATATGAAAAACAATGATTGTAACCCCTACTTCACAGCACACACAAAAATTAATTAGAGAAGGATCATAGAGTGAAGTTTGAAAGGTCCTAGAGATAGCGTGTCTCCAGGATAGGGGAAGATTTCTTAAACAAGACACATAAAGTACCAACCATAAAGGAAAAGATTAAATACTTTGGATTATGTTAAAATTTAGAGTGTCTATTCTGATTAAAGATACCAATACAACACTGAAAAGGCAAGCCACAGGTCGGGACAATGTATCTGTCATGCGTGTACCTGACAGAAGATTCTTACCCAGAATGTATGAACACCTACAAATCAATGAGAAATGACAACACTCCAAGAAAATGGGCAGAAGTCTTAAACATGTACTTCACAAAAGAAAAATATACAAATAGCCAATAGCTTGTGAAAGGTATTTAACCTCATAGGCATTATGGAAATGGAAGTTAAAAGCATAAAACCAGTTCACATCTATACTATTACTAGTATAGTTTCTTTTTTTGCCTGTTTCTCTGATCTATTTGGAATTTAGGAATGGATTCAATTTTATCTGTTTATCAGAATCTTTTTTGTTTTAATTATGTTTCATATTTCAACAATCATTACTCACCAGTTTCATTAAACTTCATCACTACAGTCTAAACAATTATTTAAACTTAACTTTTACTAGTTTTGTTATTACTCTTTCTTGAGTCCAATGTTTTCCCCCCAAATATCTTTGTTTGCCTTTATATCTGAGCAATTTGTCTGTGAATGGAATTCTAGTTTCATAAACTTTTCACACTATATTCTGGGAAATATGCTAAGCAGTTAACGTGCATTTCTTTTTACTTCCCCTGTTGTTCAACATAAATGTCAAACTCCATACTGTGACCTATAATGCCCTATATCGTGCAAGCCACATATGTAATTAAAATTTTCTAGTAGCCACGTTAAAGAAGTAAAAAGAAACAGGTGAAACCAATTTTAATAATATGTTTTATTTAACCTAATATATCAAAAATATTATCATTTAAATGTATAATCAATATAAAATTATTAATGAAATATTTTACATGCTTTTTGTTCTACTGTCTTAAAAATCCAGTGTATATGTTATACTTGCTACATATCTCATTTCAGAACCACATTTCAAGTGCTCAATAGCAACATTTGGTTTGTGGTTACCACAGTAGACCGCACAGCCCTATGTGATCTAGTCCCCATTAACTCTTAGACATCATTTTTACCACCATCCCCCTTCCCAGTTCCCCTCTGGCCACACTGGCTTCCCTGCTGGTCCTTAAACATATCAAGCGTGTTCTGGCAGATCTTTGCACCACCTGTCCACTCTGCCTGGACTCTTCTCCCCAGGATGTGCCTGTGGCTTATCACTCACCCCCTAGGGTCTCTATTCAAATATCACCTCAATGGAGAAGCCTTCCTGAAATCTTGTATAGAACACCACCCTCTGATGTCATTCCCCATCAGAAGCACCCTGACATACTTTATATTTATCTATTATGTGCCTCTCTCTTCTACCAGAATGCAAGGTCTCTGAAGGCAAGGAGCTTGTCTGCTCTGGTCACTGCTGTATTCTCCATGCCCAGAGCAGGGTCTGACAGGATGGAGATTTGTTGGAGATTCTGCACACCAGCTTTGTAGAGTAGGTTCTTTCATTCTGTTTTTACAGATGGCAAAGGGAGACTCAGAGTCAGTAAGGTGACAGATGGGTTACTTACCCAAGGTCATGTAGCTTGTGGGTTGCAGTCAGGACTTGAACCTGACTCCAAAACGTAAGGTTTTAACCAGTTCATTCTAATCCTTGCCTTGGAGAGAAGCCAGGGCGTCTGCATAGTTCTGATCCTGTTGTGGCTCAGCCTCGTCCCCGCTCCTGCTGCTCTGTGCCCAGGTTTTCTGTTGTTCTACTGGAGCGGATGGTTCGCCTGTTTTCCAAAGAGAGCCTTCTTTTGCCTGCATTGAATTGTGGTTCCAGTGGGTTTTTCGTACAGTGTGATTCCATCTGGTTCATATCATCAAAACTTCCTCATTGGTTCTGCTCTATTGACAACACTCATCTTGTCCTCAAATGCAGCAGCAGAGTTTTTGCTGATTTTAATAGATCTCTGGTCATTCAGTGAGCTTTTGAAAACTCAACTGAACACAAAGACTAACTTTCCTTGGCCTGGGAGCATCCTGCATCCCACCTGTGAGATTTAGTTTTCCCCAAGATAGACAGGCTGAGCTCACCTTCCTCTCAACTGTGTGTATCACTGCTCATCTGTGTGTGTATGTGTGTGTCTTTTCAGAACTTTTCTTCTTAATTCTGATATTTATCAGCAACTTCAAGGAGTCTTTACAAAGACTATGCTTTGTAAATTTCCCCACCTTATGTTCTAAGTTGCTCAGGACCTGTTGTGTCTAATCCAATCTCTTACTTCTAGCAATAGCAGAAATAACTATTTATTGAAGTTCCATTGATATATCCCAGGAATATATCAAAAAAAGTGCTTTTTGCATGTCGTCATATTTAATTCTCACAATAAGTGCTTCCCCCACCCCCAGATTTGCATGTGAGAACTCACTCTGTTGAAGAAAAGTGAGTTCCTACAACCCACCGGGGGTAGTATTCCATCTCCCATGAAGACAGAGCTGCTGCCTCCATGGATGGCCCCTTTGCAGTGTCATCAGTCTCAAACGGACAACTTTCTCTAGTCCACAGCCGGGTGTGCCCACCTTTCATTTATCCGTTAAATAAAAATCAGTATACCCGTTGAGTACAAAATGCTGCCGTAAGCAGTTTGGGGCCACTTATAAACAGATTGGATTCAACAGCGTTTTCAGAGATAACTCTGGTCCTAATCACAGGTCTGTGTTGTTGACTTTGTTGTTTGTGTGTTTGTTTGAGCTGGCATGCTCCTCTGGGTGGAGATGCAACATAGAAAATTCTAAATTTTCACAGAAAGCAAGTCGGGGCAGTTATATGCATTTCCAAAGGATTCTTGGTTTTATGGAAGTATCCCCAATAACAGTTCTTAAATACCAAATTGTTTCTTGATCATTTAAGATATGAAAAGACTTAAAATTTTTTATACCAAATTTTCCAGAAACAAGTCAATTTGGAAACCAATTTACACCTAAAACAATTTACACTGCACGATAAAGAAAAGAGCTGACTTTGAATGGGCCTCTGTCTGACCATCAATTTAGAGTAAGAAATATCAGGCCTAGCTCTGCAGGTTTTGTTTGATATTAAGATTTGTTTTCCCAGGAGGCCAGCACTGACCTCAGTCTCGATTTGGTCGATATTTATCT